ATACCAACATGTCCCAAAATACAATACGAATTTAGTCGAGGCTTCAAACTATATCAAACAATGCCGAAATTACGAATCGCGCATCGAATCGAATTATGGGTTTTTAAATCTTTCAGCTTCTATATTTTGCGTTGAAACGTATCAAATCAATCCAGAATGACTTTAAATTTTGCACACAAGTCATAAATGACGTAATGGAGCTATTCAAATTTCTGGAATCGAAATCCGACCTCGTTATCAAAAATTCCACCTTCGGTCGAACTTTCCAAAATCTTCTATTTTCCAACTTTCGTCGAAATGCGTCGAATTTCCCTACGGACTTCCAAATCCAAATTTGAATATACGTCTAAGTCCAAAATTACCATACGAAACTATTGGCATCATCAAAATTCTATTCTGGGGTCGTTTGCTCAAAAGTCAACTCCCCAGTCAACTCTTTCTATTTTAGTTTCTAAATAAGAATTGTTCTTTCAATTTAATTCTGAATCTTCCAAAAAATCAAACTCGATCACACCCGCGGGTCATAATACATATTACAAAACTGCTCGAGACCTTAAGTCACTGAGCGGGGCATTAATTCTTAAAATGACAAGTCGGGTCGTTACATTCTTTCCCCCTTAAACATATGTTCGTCCTCGAACGTGCCAAAAATCTTTCTGAGGACATTAAATTACTGAGTGTATTCTTACACACATACTTGCGGGTGATTTTACGTCACCGTAAATTTAATAGGGGTCCGACAATATCATCTCAGTGGAGATTATTTCTTTTATTTACACTTATAAGCCTTTAAGCCAATCCCTTACACTTCAAATAAATTTCGAATTTCTGACATCAACACACAGTATTAGTCTCAACCGGTTGTAGCAATTTGTACCTATGCACACATCATACGTATATCTATAACCACATCTCTGGTCATAATAGCTGTTTATAATTAATTTCCAACATCTTCAATTTATCTCATATTCACCAAAATATCATTTTAGCTTTTCGTAACACTGAAAGCAACACGCGAGGCATGAATACCTCATAATTATTTACCCGAATTAACGAGTCACATTTAACGCCACCTGGGCACCCACATCAAAGGCTAAAACTTAATATTTACAGCACGAATATGGCTAAATATGCACAGAAAAATATACAAGAATTATCAAATAAGCCTAACAGGCATGACTCCCTATTAATACTATAGTAAAATTTTAAATTTCACAAAGGGAGAAGCCTGCAAACGCAGCAGCAGGTTTACCTTGAGTCTCCACAGCAACAATCCGCACAGCTAGCTAATGATCAACTAACTCCGCATTTACCTGGCTCTGCACAAAAATGTGCAGAAGTGTAGTATGAGTACACCACAGTCGGTACCAAGTAAGTATCAAGACTAACCTTAGTAGATTAGTGACGAGATACAGTCAAGACACTCACTAGTCAAATAACCTGTGCCATACTAAAATAATCGAAAACAAATAGCAGTGATAGCAACAATAATCCACTAATGCTATAGACAGTAAGGCAGCAAGAACACCATAATTATTACTCCGACGAATAAGAAAATACAACAAAAGTACAACCAATTAAATAAATCTTTCAAATATAAATCTTTCACATATAATTCTTTCGAATAAATACCCTTCAAATATATTTCTTCAAATAAGTATCCTTCGAATATAAAACTCTTTCAAATCAATACCTCATGTCATAATCATAAAATACAGTTCTCATCCCCCTTTCATATTCTCATGGCACTTTGTGCCCATATCTCTATCATAACCGCACGAATGACTCTCGTGCCAAATATGTCAATACATAAAAATCTGCACGATTTAATTCATTTTCAATAAAGTAAGGTTGTAATTTTTAACCCAAGTAAGAATTCAAAAAAGAAATGAGTTTAGTTTATAAATAGTTTGAGAGAAGAAAAATGACATTTTCAATTTAAATAAAACATCAAAAAAATCTACTGATTTGGATGCAAAACTTATTAATTTAAAACATAATAGTAACTTCTTTTATTTAAAACAACTCAGTCATTGAAAATTGTTAAAAAACCAGGAATATAAATCTTCAGAGTCTCGTACTAAAAAGCCCAAGCCAACACAATACAACAAGGAATACAAACACCTAGTAAAACTCAAATAATACATCACGTCAGATCACAAGAATTTACCTAACACGAAAATATAAAATAACCAAAGGCAAGTGCAATCATAGAGAGATGTCAACAAAAGGGCACTCCCGAGATACTGTCTCGTAGTCCCAAAAGTAAATGCTCAACAGGGGATCTCTCGAGATACGTCTCGTAGTTCCAAAAATAAATATGCAAAATATGGGGATCANCATCAAGTGCTCAAATATTATAATTTATCACAGATTGCACATCAAGTGCTCAAATATTATAATTCGCCACAAAATTCAACAATACATTAATTTTCACAATATGGAGCCCATGGCTCGACCATAATGTGCAAAAAATCTCAACAAATATATCCGGAAGTGAACAACTCAACAAAATAATATTTCACATAAAAATCAAGGTGGCAGTCACACTAAATCATCATATAAAAATAAATCCAACAAAACAAAGATTTAATAAATAAAAAAGAACATCTTGTTATGAAATAAATAAAAAATATTTTTATATTATGAAATTAAGGTGGCAGTCACACTAAATCAAAATGTTTTACTTACATGCTATATTTAAAAAAAAATATCTTGTTATTAAATAAATAAAAAATTGTGAATAACATGTTGCATATATAGAATGAAAAAGATAGAAAGTATATGATGTTTCAATTCCCGAGTAGGCATTTTTGTGAAAAATTCTATTGCGTTCTTTTCGTGTGCGTCGTGGGGGTAAAATCCCGGTGAAGTAATAATGGTCTTAAAATGGTATTTTCAAGAACGTAAATCAATTGTTATGCTGGTGATTGATTTAAAAAGATGAGAGAAAGCGACTGAAAAAAAATAGTAATGGTCAAATCTGGACCATTACGAAAAGTTTAGGGAAATTTGGAAAGCCATATAGGATTTGAATTTGGGTGTAATTACACAATTTGACATGTTTGTCTGGTCAAATAATTACTTGATAATTGGGTGTAATTAGAAAGGTGTAATTAAACTCTTCAATTCTCAATGGAGATGTGAGAATTTGTGGTAATTATATTATGAAATTACAAGGTTACTTTTTAATTTCTTCCTTTTTGTTTTTATTTTAATTTATTTTCTTTATAGCTTTTTATTTTCATTATTTAAATTTCTTTTTATTTTAATTTATTTTACCTATTTTTACCTTTTAATTTCTTTTTTTAATTTTAAAATATATTTGTCTTTGTACATTATTCATCTTTTATTTTTTTTACTTCTTGTGACTCCATGTAATTGCTCGTATATTTTATTTCTTATTTGTTTTATTTTTTTCATTTAGCATAACTGCATTATTATTCTAGTTTTTTAAACAACAACTCCTAATATTAGAAATAATGAGTCATTAACAAACTTGGCATATAACGAGTGACGTCATTAAAGTAAAATTTCATTGTTAAATGAGGTTATAAACTTGTTATATTTCCTAATCTTAGGTTATAAACTTATTATTAGAATTTGACATATGTTAAACTTTTTTTTTTTGGAATTTTGAAATTATATTATTTTTATGGTTCCAATTTACCTGTTTTAGTAGATTGACTTGTTATTTCACATTGCATGTTGTTCATTTTTTTAGTTAAAATTGGTAGATTAATTTTGTCAAACATTCGAATAATGTTATGATATTAGATTTATAAATATTAATTTATTTTATCAACCATGCATTCCATGATGTTTTTACAAAATGTATGTTTTTAGTTTTACAATTAAACTAAATATTAGTAATTTAAAAAATATATACCAAATTTAATATCATTTATACTTATAAAAAAATATTTATAGGCATATATTTATTATATTAACTTTTAAGTTTTGATAATTACTTCATTTAAAATTTAATCTAAATGTGTAATTACACTTGTGCTACCAAATAGTATGCTGGTAATTACACTGTAATTATGTTATGACAAACAAACAGGTTATCGTAATTACTTTATTGTGTAATTACTAGGTTATATAATTACTATACTAGTAATTACATCAATTCTAATTACCAGGTGACTTTCCAAATACACCCTTAATATAATTTAAGAGGAATTTTAACCCCTTTTCCTTGTAAATGACTCATGTGTTGGATGTGTGGCATCACTATCTTTAGAGATTAAGTGATAAACACTATCTTCTAGAGATTAAGTTTCTACTATTAGAGGGTGTGCGACTAAGCTTATAAGTCGGTCAAATTAGCTTATAAGCATCTTTTGACTTATCTACGAGTTTGGCAAATGTCTAAAGTGCTTCTAAGCCAAGTACTTATAAGCTAAAATCCGCCACAAGTCATAAGTTGGTCACCCCCAACTTATGACTTTTCAGCTTATAAGCACTTTTTATTTGACCAAGACTTTTACTAGTTTATACTTAATAATATTTTGTAATTCACAAAATACTTTTTCCAAAATAATTTTCTAACTTTCTCTTCATCCCATATTGTTGTTCCCCATTTTCATTTCAAAGAAACGTTTTAATTTATAATCTTTTGTAAAGTTTTAAAGGGTATTTTAGTCTTTTTAATAAAAAATAACTTATCAGCACATTTTTACCAACGACATCAACTGCTTATTATCAGTTTCACCACTTTTATCCAAACACATAAATACTTATTTAAAAAATCAATTTCTGCCCTTAAAAATATTTTTCAGCACTTCAAACTTATCAACCGTTTACGATCTGCTAATTCAAACGGCCTCTTAGCCAATAAGGATAAATTTAAACTACTTTTATAGCGAGAGAAATAAATTTGACCCCAATTATTAACTAAGCAAATTTAGCAAATGACCCCAATTATTCCTTTTTTTTTTTAATGATGCAAAACAAACCTAAAATTAACTTGTTTTTAAATTAATTTCTAAAGCAAATCGAAATTGGTTTACAAAGAAACATTCTGGTGTCGGGAAAATGTACTAAAATGGCGGCGGTAGAGTTCAGAAGTTCATAGTACCTGAGTTTCAGCTGTTCGCAAGAATCTAATAGGAGAAGTTTCAAAATCTACACGAGCTTAAAGAATAGGGGAAAACTGCAAAGACACATTTGTGAATCAATTAAGATTCTGGGGGGTATAGTTTATTAGTTAAAATGGAGAGCAATAATAGCTTGGAGCAAACACTGCAAGATGGGAAATTGTACCGTCATGTTAATTCTCTCATTGTCGCTCATCTTCGCGATAATAATCTCAATCAGGTACTCATTCCTTAATTCTTTGGTTTTATACATATATTTTACCTTTACAAACTACTTAAGTAACCTTTTTTGGGTAGGAGTTGATTACAGCATAAAAGATAGTTAAGCTATGATCAATTATGATAAACAGTACTAGTAGGACTCATATAGACATCCCAGCTAGCTTGTTATTGAGGCGCACACACACATACACACGTGTGTGTGTGTGTGTGTGTGTGTGTGTGTGTGTGTGTGTGTGAGAGTGTAAAATTACCACATGCAACTAGTGCTTAGTTAATCTGTCATATGAATGTTTGATCACGCGAGACCTTCGGGAGTCATTATGTTGCACTGTCGGAGCTATTGCTTGTTAGACCGATGAACGAGCAGCTTATAAGATTGTGTGAGAGATTAGGCTTTATTTGTAGGGGTATCAAGTTAGGGAATATTAAGAACAAGGAAGTTCCAGTTAGCCCTTGAATTAGATTTAATGATAGTGTAAACAAGGTGAAGGGAGCCTTGGCGTAACTGGTAAAGTTGCTGCCATGTGACCAGTAGGTCATGTGTTCGAGCCGTGGAAACAACCTCTTGCAGAAATGTAGGATAAGACTACGTACAATAGACACTTGTGGTATGGTCCTTCCCCAGACCCCGCGCATGGCGGGAGCTTAGTGCACCAGGCTGCCCTTTTTTTTTGATAGTGCAAAACAAGGCCCTGGCATCAAACATAGCCTAGAGGGAGTGATTTTCTATTTATAGTTGTTTCGGTTAAGAAAGCTATTTGATTGATAGCCAAGAAAGACGATTGAGTGTTGCATCTTTGGAAGAAAGGAGGAAATGGCGAGGGAAAGGGTAGAGAAGAAACAAGAGGATTATTTCTCTTGAGGTGATGTATGCATTCATGAATTTGTTGTGTACATATAGATCTGCTTTATTTGAGATTTATTCGTATTACCATCATTTGGAAGAGATTGGAGTGATCAAACATTGAATGGATAGTTTCATTATTTTTATTTTTGCTTCTTTCTTTATTTTCTGCTTTTATTTTTGTTTTTTGGTGCCACTAAAACATATTCCTTCTTTAGTGCGGGTGGGTGGGGGGATTGAAGATTTGTGCTCATGATCCTTTTTCATTTAGAAAGTTAACAAAGGTATCACTAGGGCATAGGAGGTTCAATATTATCAGGTGATTGAGTGACTCAGTTCACTTGAGACATTGGTGACTACCAACAATTAGATACATAACAAGGGGCAACTTGAATGTACCAACAATTATGGTCTTTCAGATGAAAGTGTCTTTAAACCATGCCTCAAATACTACATTACTCGTTGCCTCCGTGCAATTGTATCTAGTTCTGGACTTACCGGAGTAGAGCTTCTACATATGAACTATGAAGGCTGCGTAGCTTAGGGAAGTGCTTCTTTTATTTGGCCTCTATTCATGCTCTGATGTCATATCCCCCACAATGTTCACCGCTAGCATGTTTATCGTACCTCTTAGACCATAACATAATTTCTTTTTGAACAGAATTGCTAAGTCTTGTTAATATTTCGTGGGAATGAACAAGTGGTCATGTTTGCTAACGATACTGGAGATCTGACATTTTGGCGGTTCAATCCCCAATTTTTTTTTTTTCCGGTTTCATTTAAGAGGGTGTCTCCTATTTCTAGATTAGCCTCCTTGCTACAGAATTTAACAAATTTTAGAGTTCGCACACTCAAAACTTGAGTGCTAATAGTATTATCACCCGAATTGGCACCCGACAGAGTGCTACTAGTCGAACCCTTAATGGACCTCAGAGATAAACTTAAATCCACCGAAGAAGATGAATTAGAAGGAGAATTTGAAGTTGAATTGAGCCAATTCCTACTCCACAATATTTTGGCCTCAAACTTTCTTTTCCAAGGCCAACATATGTTTTCTTTGGTTATTTTGCTGGATGTTTCTTGCTGTCTCTTATATGCGATATGAAAACATTCCATGAAATATTGTAGTAACATGTCAGCTGCAAGTGAGAGGTTATTCGAAAGCAGTCATCTTTTCCTGGGTTAACTGCATGATCTTACACTATGATGGGATTCAAATAGCAAAATTGAGAACATCACTGTGTCTTTTGTTTTGAATAGAAAACGCTACATAACAAGGCCAAGTTAAGTAGAGTTTGTGACGAATTCTGCTATGCATGTATTACAGGCTGCAAGCGCAGTAGCTTCAGCCACAATGACACCAATGAATGTTGAAGCTCCTACAAAAAAGCTACTTGAATTGGTTGCAAAGGTTTGTATCGGTTGGTAAGGTTTGCTATTATTATGCTTTCACTAATTTTAAGTTGTTCAACATGGGGTAGGAGAATAGATATAGAAAAGCTTCTTTATCGCTCTAAGCCGTTAACAGGGCCTTGCAGTGGAGAAAGATGAGACGCTGAGAGGAGTTTCGACAGCTGCACCTTTTGATCCAGTCATAACTACGGGATATGGCTCAATACCAGCCCCTCGCACTGCTTCTGTTGATTTCAGGTACTCTATCTCCCTAAATCGCGCTATTTTCTTATCAACCTGAAGGGTGTAAAAGTTTACTTTTGTAAGTTGAGTGTTAAAGTGCAATTAATGCTTTGTCGGTTGACGAAAACTCTAAAAGTCCTTGTGCCACGCTGGTGTATGCAGTTGAAAATGTCAACTGAGTAGAATGGAGGGGATTATCTGTTGATTGTGGGAAATGCTTTGGATATTTGAATATTAATTTTTGTAATGAAGAGTAATAACTAATGTGGGATGTTTACCTGTAATCATCTATGGAAAGACTAGTCTGTCCAATTGAATATTTCTTTTCTTTTTCCTTTCATTAATTACATCTTTCAAAAACTGATTAGCAGCCGGCTCCACGTGCTATGATGATAACTTTCATTTCGTAAAATAACTAGTTTCCTTTTGGAATTTATGTATGAGGGCACTTCTACGCTGTAACAGCTTTGATTTTATCATTAGGTTATGTCAATCATAGACTCTTTTGTGTAAGTTTGATCCTTCATAAGCCTTGTAGTAGCAGTTCAGAATCCTTTTGGATCTGTTCACCAAAAGATTTAGTGAGGCATGTGGCTTATAAATTATAGTGAGCCACCAAAATGCATCTCTTATTCATTGACCCTAAGAAGAATGTCTCTAGATTTACAGAGTGGGCTCACATTTCAGGTTTCATGATTCACCATATATTAATATGTTGTGTGAATCATAAAAAGCCCATTTCCTGGCTCTATCTGAATCTCTGTATATAAATACTTCTTCTTTCTTGAGTATTAACAAACTTATGAATGATGTTGAGATTGTCATTTGATGGAGCTGATAATTCAATTCTCCTTCTGAACAGTAGTGTGAACGATACAAAAGGCTCGTCAAAGATTATCCCAAAGCATGAATCACGACACGTTTCTGAGCACAAGGTTGTATCTTAAACAAAACTGTAGGTTGTTTGAGCTCTCATCTTTGTTTCAATTGCTGATTTCCAGAATCAATTTCTAAGAAAAGAATTTTCTTTTAGAATGTAGCCAGGTGTGCCAGATTTAGTCCAGATGGAAGATTTCTTGCTACTGGAAGTGCGGATACGTCTATTAAACTGTTTGAGGTGTTGTATCTTTTCTATAACACTCCAATTTCCATTCTTTTACTTCTACAACTCACGGGTTACCTTATGCAGATTTCAAAAGTTAAGCAAATGATGCAGCCAGATGCTAGGGATGGCCCAGTGAGGCCGGTTGTACGGACTTTTTATGATCATCAACAAGTAAGATCTTGATTGTGATACTTGCATTTCTTGATTCTATTGTCATTTGATGTTAATATTTTTAGGTTAGTTATTTTGAACATTGGTTCATAAGATCTAATTTTATCAACTATTTAAGTAAGAAAATTACTGGATTGCTTTTAAACAAAATTAAGTTAACTGGATTTTTCTGTACGATGTTTTGCAAGTAGCCTCTGCCTCCATTAAAATGCTGAAAAGAAATAAAAAGTAGCATCCTTATTTAAGTTTATTGTCAACTTGGATTTGGCAACATGGTGTTGTGCAGGATATTACCTTTAGATATTGATGGCACCTGTTTCCTCTCTATTCATATGAATCTCAGTTTCTGAGGTGTGACTATCTCAGGGTTTACCCTATTTCTTATCCAGTACTTATACATAACTGCAGCCAATAAATGACTTGGATTTTCATCCGCAAAATACAGTACTCATATCTGGAGCAAAAGATCGCACCATCAAGTATGATATATTATTTAACTGTGAAATTGTATAATTTGCTTGTCATTGGAATATGAACTAAATACTCTCTTCTTTTTTCCTTTTCTTTGACTGTTTTCAGGTTCTTTGATTTTTCAAAAACGGTGGCAAAGAGAGCATTTAGAGTGATTCAGGTCACTCAAATGTCTTTTAAATTTTCAAACCAAACATTAATCTTGGACTTATTTTAGAGAAAAATATACTGGCTATGCTATTCGATTTTTATTGTATGTTTTAACAGGATACACATAATGTAAGGTCGGTGTCATTTCATCCTTCCGGAGACTTTCTTCTGGCAGGCAAGTGCATTTCTTTTTAGTTAGCTACTGGATTGTGGACTGCTATGTACTATTTGGTGAACCTAAAGCTGATTTAATGGTGCTATGTCAGACAACTTTTATCCCTGAAAATTATATACTATTTTTTGTCCTAAAATTGGAAAGTAGAGAAGGCATACTTGTACAAAAGTTGCTACCAGAACAAAACAAGCAATGCACGTGTGTGGTATAAAGTGTAAAAATCTTTTTGCCCATCTTTCTGGTATTGGTGATCAATATTTTCTTTGTCGATGTGCTAATCCTCTCTGTACAGTTACTTCTAACTAGATTTTGGAATGGCTTTTAGGTAAAGTAACTTTTGTTATTATTCCCTGCTTACTAAAAAAAGTAACTTTGAACTATTCACATATTCAATTCTAAGGGAGTGCTGTGAGTAACAAAAGGAGTAAGGCCGTCCCTGTTGCAAATGTACAGAGCCGATGATATTCAAAGTATCATCTACTAAATGAAAATTACACCAAAAGCTAAGGCAGTCAGAAAAGAAAGCCTTATATCTATGATGTGATGCCTGGTTGAGTGAATCAACAGATGATGTTGGTTTCTAAATCTTAAGGAGAAATAGAGCTCTGGATAGGCAGCTATTGATCTTAACTTCAACCAAGAGCAGATATATATATAATTAGGTGTCGTAACTTGTTGATATGAAGTACAAAAACTGTTAGTGACAATTCCCACCATGTCAGACGGCCAAGCTTTCTTGGAACTGGCATTTAATAAAGTTGAAATTGGTTAGAGAACCAATTATTTGATTCTGTACTCGTAAGATTGTCTAACTTTCTATCTGATAAAAAAAGATTGTCTAACTTCCTATATTACCCACTATATTTACTGCCAACTCGTTCAGATGAAGCGGCAGCAGTAATGAGTACGATTTGCACCTTGCCTATCGGCTAAAGTTCTCAAATAATGTTGGTTGTTACAGGAACTGATCATCTAATTCCCCACCTATATGATATTAACACTTTCAAATGCTACCTGCCAACAAATTTCCAAGAGATGGGTGTCAATGGTGCTATTAATCAGGTAAATTCGTGTATATAGATGCTTTGATCAGAGGATTATTTGTTTACAATTATATTTCCTTACAGGTTAGGTATTCATCTACTGGTGGAATGTATGTTACTGCATCCAAAGATGGTGCTATTCGGTTATGGGATGGGGTAACTGCTAGCTGTGCGCGATCCATTGATGGTGCACATGGAGCAGCAGAGGCCATAGGTGCAAATTTTACCAAGGATGAAAGGTTAGGGATCCCTTGTGGTTACAGCTTACAAGCTTGAACTAGGATTCTTTTCTTCAACGGGAAAAGAAAAAGAGAAAAAGAAAGAGGCACAAAGAAAGAAAAGAGAACAAGAGGTTTATTCCAGTTGAACCACTGTCTAGAAATGAATAGGGGGATTTTTTGCCTTTTCATGGTCTAGAGGGTGGGAAACTTGTGAAAAGAAGTTGCCTATGAGAATCTCCTCTTCCTGTTTTGTCACAAAGAAATTGCAGCATAATATATCCTGCTTGATAACTGAGTTTATCTTGTATACTGCTCATGCACTTAACCATAAAAATGTTGTTGATCTTTTCTTTCAAATTTTAATGTAGCATCATTCGTGACCCTACTTGACATAGAGCTACTAGACATAGAGCTTCATTTTTTAGTTTCCACGTGGAACTTGATTTACGTTCTATGAGAAATTCTTGATAATTTATAGGGCTTAAGATGCCTTCTCAAGCTTGTTTATTTCAAATGTTTCCTAGGTATATCCTCTCATGTGGAAAAGACTCTTCGGTGAAGCTTTGGGAAGTTGGCACAGGAAGATTGGTCAAACAATATCTTGGAGCTACACATACACAGTTGCGCTGTCAGGTATGTCAGGCTCATACTGCTTGCTTTGAAGAATTCATATTTCATGTTACAGTTATTTATTTCATTTATAGCAAAGTTGCATATTATGAACTATCCACTGCTTGTCATTAATTAATATGCAATACATGGCAGCATATGCCAAGAATGCTGCCTTTAGTTTATCATTCTTGTGCCTCCATGGTTTCAAACTGCTTGTTGAATATGCTGCAGCTATCATGATTACCATGGAATTGCATTTTAAAAATAGCAGCTAATACATGGAAATTATAACTACAATAACGCCTCTTCCCAAGCTACTTGGGGTCAGCTGTATGAATCTTCATTATCCATGTCACTCCATTAGGCCGGTCTAAATTTTGCGTTCAACTATCACATGGAAAGTAAAAGATACTCCGTATTTTACAATAGATGTACCAACCAGGAATTATGTCAATTTCTTGTTGGAAGTTCTGGTGATTTTTGAGATGTGATTGTCAGAGAGGATGCTTGTAAAATTCTTCTATAGTGGATTTCCTGTATCTCATGCTCGTCTTCTTTAGTTAGGCTATATTTTATATATGCATCACTTGTGGTGTTTCCTTTTCTATTTTCTTCTTTTGTTTGGACTGAGCTTTTCTTTATTCCGAAGAGAAAAGGAGCTCTGTTATTCCCACTTTTATGAGAACGTTTTGCCTCACATTCTTGTTGACATTTGACAGCTGAATAATGCCTTTTAATGCAGGCTATTTTCAATGATACAGAAGAATTTGTATTATCAATTGATGAATCTCTGAATGAGGTAAAGTATAGCTTCCTTCAATACTTATGCAGGTAACGTTATGGAGATTAATTACGATGTTGGTCACAGATTGTTGCATGGGATGCTCTGACAGCAGAAAAAGTGGCTAGGTGGCCCTCCAACCATGTTGGTGCACCTCGTTGGCTTGAGCATTCCCGGGTAGAAGCTGCATTTGTGTCCTGTGGAATGGACCGATCCATTCGGTACTGGAAGGAGGTACTTTAGTGCCACTCATGAGCCAGTGGTATGTAGCAAAGCCAGAGATATATACACCAGTGTAATTTAATAAGCTTTCTGTAAGAAACTCTCACCGCACTTGTTTGTTGTATACTCGAGAGAAGAGAAAAGAGGTATTCATCGTAGGTAGGTCAACCGAGCAACCCCTTTTGTTTTCTCACCATGCCGTCAGCTAAGTGGATGGAAGTGATTTTTGCTTTGTCTTAACCCCTCTCTCTGCCTCAGATTCTTTTCCTCTCTGATGGCGAAGGAAAGTAAAAACGAAGAGGCGAGGAGCTATAAGCTAGCTTTCAGGTTGGTCGAATGGGAAGGCATGACGGTTAATCTCCTCTATCTTGATAAGGGTCATTTGCTGATAATCCAAATTCCCCAGTTTTTCATTTACAGTTCTACACTATGTGGACACAGGCTTGATTATCCTTTTGAGATGTTCAGTAGCAAACTTGTACTGTTTATAGGATATTTTATGTTTCTCTTGTTACAATGGGAAACTGGAATATTTTCTCCTCCCAATGGATATTTCTCCTGTTTCAAAATTAGATGTTTTATTTGATGCTTGTCAAAATGAGCACCTTTGAGATTGAAATTAGGAGTATATTATATATATAATTTGAAAGCAATATAGCTTTAAAATGACTCCTTTTCACATAGATGACTATTGTTCTGTATTTGTCACCTACAAATACGAAAAATTACTTCCTCCGTTCACTTTTACTTGTCCATTTTAATAAATCAAGAGAAATATAATATTTTCTTTTCTTGTTTTACTCTTATTATTAATTACTCATTTCCAAAATTACTTTTCAAGACTCTTTGAAATGCTATCATTATGAAGGGTTGTAAGGTAAAATACATATTACAATTATTATTTCTTAAGGGGCGTGAAAAGTACAAAGTGAACAACTAAAAGTGGATAGAAACGGTAAAATAATTAGTTGTATGGAGGCCATACAGCTAGACCAACCTTGTGGCCTTGATCACTGTAACTACTTATACCAACTATATGGATTCTTTCCTTTAAACCCCTTTGGCTCTATCTGTTTCAGATTATCAAATTGAGAGTAGTACTCAAAAATCTATATTTTTACTGCAGTATTTGATATATTTCCGATCGATATTTGTGGTTGGAAAGTGAGACTCGAAATGGAAGATAAATAGAGAGAATTAGTCTGGAAAGATATTTTCTTTAGCATTTCAAGAATGTATTCAGTTCTACAAGACAAAACAAGTATTAATAGTTTAATTGTACCTATACAGGTCCACAATTTTATTTTATTTTTAAAAAATGCTACGATTCAATTAGACTAGTGGCAAATACCAATTAATGTAGTCACTAGTAATTTTGGATTTATTCATCAGTAAAAGATTTTAACTCACTATTCATCTTTCGCAGAATATTTCTTAGGCAAAAACAGAAATGATGGCAAGTCTCATCTGAGGACTACATTGAATCAACAAAATACACACCAAAAGTTTCGTGAAATCAAAATTGGGATCCCTATTAGAATTCAGAAACATGCATTTATTCATGATATGCGAAATTAACAAGAAGTTACAAAGACTTGATGTGAACCAATATTCAATTCGGGAGGGTAACAATAACACGCATTCTCACAAGTAGGTTATGGGGAGGGTAAAATGTATGCAGAACTTATCCTTACCTTATGAATATAGAAAAGTTATTTTCGATAGATCCTCGACTCAATAAAAGCAAAATCACGGCATGACAAAGAATTACGACATAATGCTAACAATTGGATGAAAAAAGAAACATAGTCAGTACTCAGTATACCGCTTAAAAATCTGTCAAAAGATTTTAAAAAATAAACTATTAAATTATCATAATTAAAATTTATCATGAATTAATTAATTTTATAAGGAATGTCAACATACACTAACCTTCTTTTTTCGGGCTTGAACACACATAATTAATTATCAAAATTGAACAATTATAATTTTTTATCTAATGAATGTGAAATTTTAATGGAATTATATGGACGCCCCCATTTGAGGTAAAGGGTCGAATTAGGAAGAATATTGGGCAAAATACAATAATGTCACACCTCTCTATAACATCATCCCTATATAACAACCATTCACTATAAAAGCCAAGTTTTCTTGGAACCGATTATTCTGTTATGTTATAATATATATTTTTTATAACAACACTTAACTATAACAGCAAAAATAATCGAAACAAACAAGGTTGTTATAGAAATGTTTGATTGTATTGGTCAGTCAACTAAAACTAATTGCATTCGTTAGCTAAAAAAAATGCATTCGTTAGCTAAAAAAAATATACAAAATAAGGTTATTTTTTGTATACAACACACATAGCTATTATTTTTGGGAGCAACTAAAAATATATACTTCTTATTTCTTAAGAATATTCCAGTTTATTTTGCAAAGTGTCAATTTGGTCTTTTCCCTTTATGTAATAGATGTGGATATTGAGAGGGAAGAAGATATAGGATGATGTGGTTTTAGAAGCTCCCCACTAAAACTGTGGTGAAGATTAAGAATAACTACTTTCTTCCTCTGAGCGCGTGGCAAAGTCTCTCCTTCGTCGGAACTTCACCGCCGGCAACTCCTTAGGTAATTTCAGAATAAGTTTAACGTCACTCTCTTTTCTATATTCCTCACATTCTCTGTTCTCTCTCTCTTTTAACCATAATTTTACCTCTAGAGACATAGGAGTAACAATTTGGAATTTGTAGTTCGAATTCCCTCTTTAGTAACTGCTCTAGATGTCCTATTAATTGTCAGGATTTTCATGCTTTCTCTTTCTTTTCTGGCAATCTTCCAGCACCCCTGTGTTAACATTACAGTGTGAGCTGGAGAAAAGTTGTTTACTGTAATGTTACAGACACTAGGAATGCGTACCTGGTTGGCATGTCACACTTGTAAGAAGTATAAGTACTAATGTTTGAAGCATAACAAATTCAAGTGTAGTATAACCTTTTCCTTTTTCAGAGGCGGAGCTAAGATTTCAATTTTATGGGTTTGGATTTTAGAACGAAGACTTTAAATCCTAATAACTGGGTTCTAAATTTAATATTTATTTAACACAAATACACTGTTGAGCGAGCTACTGTGTTTGCTGGAACCCATAGCCGGGCTTCTGGCTCTGCCCCTGACCATTTTGCTGACTACCAGCTATGTGGTTGCAAAGCATAGCCAGTCCAAAGACTGGGTAAAGGATTTGTCATTATTTGGCAGTTAGCCTAAGAACGATCTATTAATGCTGAATCCTCTAAATACTGACCTGGAATTGAAGCGTGATTGACTGATAGAACCTTTTCAACCTCATATATCCTTGATCAAATTGAAAATCTTGAATTTTTAGTTGCCTATGTAGTAGAACCTTTTTGTACCTTTTACGTCGTTCATGTTTGTCGTTTGTCTATATCTGGACTGATTCATACTTAATAAGCATGTATAAACTCACAAGAGCAATATCCTTAATTACACGACTGAATTCATGAAGATGCGGTCACCTAGTTGTAATAACATTGACTGGCTTAGATTTTTCTCATACATATCTGAATTTAAAACTTTGCAGGTCTGGGTTACTGCTTGAAGAGATGGTGTCTTTGCAGAAGTTTCCATCAGTACATAATGCATGTATGTTAAATGCATCCCCTCAGGTTCGACCGTCATCCTTCTTAACTGACTGTGACCATATACCCGTTGTTTTGAAGTTCCTCTTCATTTATAAAAGTGGCTTTGATGCATCAGCAAGGATTGTTTAGGAACAGCCCCAACGGAAGAGGTCCCGGCTTTATCAGATCAGAACAAGTGTCTGAAGTTTCAATTTCCTCTTGCCAAGGTAAACTACCCTAACATGATCTGAAAGAAGTCTAATGAAGCGGTGTAGTCGGTTTACTGTCAGTTGCCATCTATTTGTCAGGCATGAGGCAACCCAAATTCAGATGGGGTTCTTTGGCTCATGACGAGCAATGTTTCAAACTTCAGGAGCATTTGAGCTTTTCAAGCATCATTATAAGTTCAATGATTTTCACTCCCCCCTATATTTTCTTCTCCCAATTATTTTGCTTTAGAATTAATCTCATTGATATTGCTCACAGCCAACTTTTTGACGTGAAAATTGAGAGGAGTACACCAGTTAGACAGTTTAAGCTACTTGATGTATTGCATGTGATCTCATTTGCTGTTTTTACATTAACTTGAGTGGATACTCTCTATGCTGCCCAATGCATGGGTGAGTTATTCCAATAGTGTCATCTCTACCATATATAAGATGGTGAAATCATCCAGTTCAATCTGTTGAAGTGAGAGTTTGCTAGTTGGACTCCTGGGGTTTATGGTCTTTGAGCTTAAAGAGTCATCCTACATACCCAATAATTTCAGAATAGGCTATTCGCTTATTATATTGATCTACATGCAGAATAGTAAACCTGCTTGTCCTATTTTGATAGACCTTTTAGCACCAAAAGTAAAGTGGTTAATCATATCCTTTTTATTTGTTGTTTTCCTTACAGATAGACCTGGAAGACGTCAATTTCTTGCCATGGGATCAACAATTGCCCCTTTGTTGCTAATGTCTTATCAGACACCAACATCATGTAAAACTCTTCTTGCAATGTACTTAAATGTCCTTACTCGTTAAATCACTTCAGTTTCATTTCCCAATATATCCCTGCTGTATTAGTGTTTTCCTAAAAACTGGAATTGCGAAGTTATCAAAAACAATTATCTTCCATGCACTTTACTGCTTCTTGAAATTTCAATGGCTGATATCCTAAGAGTACACCCTTTGATATGGTTCAGTTGCTGCAGAATCTAAGAAAGGATTTCTGCCCGTCACAGACAAGAAAGACGGATACAATTTCGTCTATCCTTTTGGGTGGCAGGTCCATTCCCTATCTTGATAACAATTGTCTGTTACTTTATGTTTTGCAACTTTCTTTTGCTTTCTGTCTTTTAGTTGCACAAAAAGTTGCTGGGAAAACTCGTGTTCTGGAGCCGCTTCTGTGGATTTAGCAATTCTGCATATCTATTTCATTTAATTTCCTTCTGGAATTTCAGCTATCCTTCAAGGGAGTTAAAGGAGCCCCTTTCCCCAGTTAGCTTAGGGCCTTAACCCTCAGTTTTATGTTTCTTATCTCAAAGAAGTGAGGCCTATCTCACTTTTATTCTTCTTATCTCAAAGACATAAGGCCTATATTTCCCCTCTTAGTTTTTTCCACCAAATTTCTGTTTCATCGCATCTAATACAAATTATTTTTCAAAAAAATCTGCAGTTAGAATTTTCTAGTCCTTAGCCACTTTGTATTTCTCATAATTTCACTATTACCTTGTAGATTATTTTTATTTTTGGTTTATTTACTCTTTGCTTGTTCATCTTCTTCTTTTTCATTTTTCTCCTTTTCTCCTGATCCAGGAAGTAGTGGTCGAAGGTCAAGATAAGGTTTTCAAAGATGTTATTGAACCACTAGAAAGCGTTAGTGTAAATGTGATACCCACCAGCAAACAAGATATTCGTGATTTTGGTTCACCACAGCAGGTTTGTAGGAAATTCTAAATTAT